GTAGGTGAGCCAGGCGTTGAGCATCCTGTACGCCCCCGACTCTGATAAACCTGATGGAAGCGGGAACAAATGATTAAATAATGGAGGATGGGCAACACTTGGTGTAGGGAGAAGTTTGGAAGGTGTAAGAATTATTGCCATGAGGAAGCCATAAAAATAACATATATAAAAAAGTGATTTAAAAATAATAACAAAATGACTCAAGAAACCACTAATGTAGTCAATTCTATAACTTCCTGTTTCTTGAGAATTGCCTGCAAAACAGCTGTTTGAATGTTTAACAAATCATTTTTAGACAACTAAATATTACAAGCACTTTAAAACTCTGAACAAATATTATTACAGGGTATATGCAGGAATCCTGAAGACTAATGTAAGACCCTTTCCATACATTTTAAGACCTCATCTCCACTTGGAGTTTTAACCGGTTACCTTGGCGACACACTTTACCTCACATTGACTATATACAGTATTGATTGTCCTTCCTCCTTATCTTCCAACCATTTGGACGCAAACTTGCATTTCCCCATAACGATGTTATTTAACAACCGGCGTAAACGGAGCTCCGCTCGCTATTAAGCAGTGAGCGTGCGATGTCCTGTTCAGATGACGTCAAATCCAACGGGATGCCATAAATAAACTACACAGAATCACACTACACACCTACGCCATGATTACATTCAGGCAGACTGTAGAATACAACCTCTTTGGACAATTTAGATACTTATTGAAAACAAGCTACAAAATGTAATACCTTGAGAAATGCCCTTTAATACTTTTTAATGGCCTTCATTTTCACTAAATTGATTTATCAACTTTAACACTTTTTAAGACCCCGGGGTCACCCTGAGTAATCTAATTTCATATAGTGGTGGGTGGAGGTTTTGGAGGAGGACATCATAGCAACATTATCCTAGTTAATAAAACGACAACAAATGTTTGACACGGGTAGAAAACATTGAAGTGTTTTAAATCTAATCAATCAGGAAGTTTTTTTTTTTGTTCACAAACAACATCACCTTGTTGATGTCCAGAGAGGACAGGCTGAAGCTGTACAGCTGTCCTCTGTCGGTGCTGAGGACCAGAGTCTCCTCTGATGGACTCAAACACATCGTGTCAATCAGCTGACTCTCAGCCGGGGTCAGATCACTGTTGTCTGCTGGGATCTGAAGGACAACAACACTCACATGATCACTTGGAAACACACACAGTAACACTGTTAACCTGCTTTGACACGTACCCGTATGTCTCTTGTCCTTCTATAACCGTCCTCCTTTGTCTTTTCAAAGAGACAAGCAGTGCCGGCACCATAAGAGCATATAAAGCCTTTAGAGTAAGACAGAATGGCTGTGATGCGAGGAACGGAGACACCTTCATCCACACCAGAGTCTTTCATCTTCTTCATGGCCACTTGTCTGAGCAGGGAATTATTGAAAGGGAGAAAAACAAAGTCAAGGAAACCAGAACCATAATGGAGAGGCTTGAATATAAGAACAGTGACCTAAGGACTACCATTTTCCAGCTTGACATGATGGGCTTTCTTTCAGAGATTGCTGCTATCTTCAGTCCCTGGGGTTCAAAACTTCACTCGATGTTCCTTCTTTCAAACTATTTGTTTTTACAGTAAACAATAGATCAACGCTGAGTGGCAGGTCTTGGTCTTATTGTGTCAAGTGAAGTCTAAAGTAATCACATTAATGAATAAGTCACCTCATTCGCTTGCTAGTTGGATCATTTCAGTGTTGGTGTATCAGTAGGATTGAACAGAGTATTCTATAAACTAGAAAATGACCCTCTAAAAAGTGTGGACTGTGGCCGTTTCTCAATCGCGAGTACACGTGCTGCAGAGCAACTATTTCAAGTATACTACGTCATCGAGTGGCGCAGAATGCTGGGCATTTAACATGCATTTAAACATCGATGACGGAGTATACTTGAAATAGTTGCTCTGCAGCACGTGTACTCGACATTGAGAAACGGACTGTGTGACTTGCACTTGACCCGATACTACCATTACCAGTGCTAAGTAGGTAATAATAGAAGTAGCTGTATTTTTGCTTTCTTGTACTTTTATTTTTTAAAAACAACCTTAACTATAGCTTCCTTTTTCGATGCAGTGATTTTATTGGGCTTTTATTTTGAAAAAACAACCTTAACTAGAGCTTCCTTTTTTGATGCAGTGATTTTATTGGGCTTTTATTTTGAAAAAACAACCTTAACTTGAGCTTCCTTTTTCGATGCAGTGATTTTATTGGGCTTTTATTTTGAAAAAACAACC